TTTTTTTTTTTTTTGTTTCTAGGTATATTTGAGTCATAATTTGCCAGAGCAGATTGAATCGAAATTGAGCAATGTCGAGCAAAGATCTGGTATTGAGTCCATCCAAGGAAATGTCTTCATGTTCCGCGACGGCTCCTCGGCGGAAGTGGACAATTTCATATATTGCACTGGTAACAATTCAGAATATTATAATTCAGAATATTTAATTAGCTTTCATTATTCATGATAATCAGTTTTCCTCAGGTTACAAGTTCACGTATCCCTTTATGTCAACTAAAGTTGAGATACGTACGGACGACAATCATGTTGAACCTATTTACAAACATCTGGTGCACATGGATTACACGAATCTATTCTTCATGGGCTTACCGGGAATTGTGATACCGTTTCCGATGTTTCATATCCAGGCACAATATATCCTCGGAATTCTTGAAGATCGCATCAAGTTGCCATCACCGCAACAAATGCGCGAGGAATACGAGATGGAGAAAAAGTCCTTGTTGGACCAAGGCATTCTGGTAAGACTCGCGGTTAAATTCTCAAATTTGCAGCAAAAATTACAGTTTAAGAAATCAAAAAAAAAAAAAATACATTCCTTTGAAAGGACAAGATGATACGTATTGATACGTATGGTATACTAACATAAAATTATTTCAAAACATTATGTCCAATTACATTAAGTTATTTTCTTTTTTGTTAGCTGAGACACATCAACAAACTTAAAGATAGACAATGGGCTTACTACGACGAGATTGCGGCCGCGGCGAATGTGCCGAGTTTCCCACCGGTGGTCAAAAAAATTTTCGATCACGTTAGCGAGATGCGCGATATAGACTTCACCATCTATAAGAATTATCAATACCGCATCATCGACAAAGAGAACTTCAACGTGACTTATTATAAGCCTTGTTAGGGTCTACGCGGAAAAAGGAAAATGAATTTTATCGTAAAACAGTTGCATGGGGCTCAAAAAAGCCGAACCTGACGAACTGTTTGTCTCCGAATTACGGCGCCAATTCATCTATTAGAACTTTTTGCAATTCGCAATAAGAAATATAATTTTAATCATTAGCGAATTGCTATAATAATGAAGATCTAATGTAAGCATCAACAAACCGGCTTATTACATCAATGTATTAAACAAGCTTCAATACAATGAAGAAATTATATTAAAAGTCTTTACCATCGATTGCAATGTGTTTTTACGCGACTTTGAATTGCAATGTAGCTTGTTATATTAAACGATAGAAATCGTTTAACATGTTTAAAACAGAAATATTCAAATTAAAATTAAATAAAATTATCGCGTTATATCTCTTATATATATATATAAGAATAAACATGTATATGTTTGTAAGAAAGAAGGTGCAGGAAAGATACAAAATAAATAGACAATCGTAAAGATTGTATTATGGAAGTACATTTGAGATGAGATTACATTCTGGTATGTTATATTCTAACTGTTATTTCTTGTCTCGATGTATAGGATATAAAAATGAAAAAGCTATCGCTTTTGATGATAGATAGTATGATATCGGACGTATATATATATATATATTTATATCATTAATTTCATTACTTAAAATATTATTGGAAATATTATTAGCAAGACTTATTTCAGTGCTTTATCGATAAATTACCGATAAACAAGATTACAATTCGTCATGTGTCTGTAAGTGATTCATCACGAAGTCATACAGATCCTCGAGATTACGCGAGCCGTTGTACTCAGAGACTTTACGTCCGTCCCGGTATAAGTACAACGTCGGAAAACCGTCCACCTCTTGTTCGCTGCATAACTGTTTGCTCGTGTCCAGTGTGCAATCAACTTTAACGATATTCACGTTATCGTTGCCGAAGAATTTCTTACCGAGTTCCTCCCACGTAGGTGCCAAACGTTTGCAATGTCCGCACCAAGGCGCGAAGAACTTCACAAAGGAGAGACCTTTCTCGACACCGTGCTTGAAACTGTCAGCAGTCAGACTTAATATAGTGTGTCGACCTTCGTCGGTATTTTTACTCTTCTGATTCGCCTCGTCAGCGTTCTTGCCCAGCATCATCGACACATAGGCCTTCAGCTCCTCGTGAGTGCGTTGTCCAGTATATTTATCTATCTAGAAATTTACATTTTATTTGTCTAAATATTGAAGTATTATTTTTACGTGAATTAATTCTCCTCCTTTCCGAGAAGAAAAAGAAATTTATAATTTAATTATCAATACCTTTTTCCCATCTTCAATCCACAACAATGTGGGATATCCTTTAATGTCAAATTGACCACAAACACTACGATGTTGGGTGCAGTCTATCCTAGAGATACTAACTGCATCATCATTGCGAAGACTATTAGCCAATTCATCCCATGTTGGTGCTAATTTCTGACAGTGTCCACACCAAGGTGCATAAAACTTGACAAAATGATATCCAGAAGAAATATGCTTTTCGAATGTGTCCTCTGTTAATTCGTTCACAGTTTCTGGAGGAGAACAGACAGGGTCTGATTCATCCTAGAAAATGTTCATTATATTAGATAATTTAGATATTAAATTTGATAAATTTAATATTACATCCAAGATAAATCACATATACCGTAGAAGAAGTGGCTAGTTGATCATTAATAAATGAAGTCAAAGAAGCTAAATCTCGGGTTCCTCTGAATTTGATGCCTTTGGTTTCTCCAACTTTATAAAACTTTAGCCTGCATTTATAAGATGTCAGAATATTATAATGAGCATCTAATATTATTAGCAGATGATGAAATAAGAAAAACTGAATTACGTGGGATAGCCAGTGACATCTTGTTCGCTACACAAAGTGCTCTCAATTGTGCAATCTACTTTGGCGATTCTTACATTACTATCCTCTTCGTGATGCTCTGCTAATTGTTCCCATGTTGGGCCTAATCTTTGGCAATGACCGCACCTTAAATAGAAAATTCCGATGCATTATAATTAAATATGATGTACATTATATCATATCAATACTATTATCATTACTTCAAATAAAAAATTATTTTTTACTATTTAATTAATATTCTGTAAAACGATAAAATATATAAAATGTGCAGTTACTCACCATGGTGCATAGAACATAACAAAGTGATTTTTCTTTTTAATTTCTGCTGAGAAATTCTCATTAGTGTACTGAAGGGTATGTGCATCCTTGTCATGACCATTACTAACTTGACTTAACATAAATAGACAGAATAATATCTGTCGTTTCGATGCGATAAATTCTGCAGGATTAATCGCCATTACGACCGTCGATTTTATATAATTTTTTATTTTCTTCAGACGAAATCTCGTTACACGATATGCGACAGACGTGATGACTCTCGAATTTTTCACTGACACATTTAGCCTTTAAATGCTGAGGTTGCTTCAATCGCGATGGCACCGTGCTGAACAAGATACTCTTAGAATATCTAGATTACGTAATATTCTATTGAAAACGAATAGTATTTTAGTTTTATATGTTCCGAAAATTAAAGAATCTTCTCGTGTGTATTTACTGGCCTGTTGCTCCAAGGCTCGCGCGAATGGATCGAATTGTGGATTCCGCCCTCCATATGATATAAGCCAGTGGAAACAACTATGAAGTTAAAATTACCCTAATCTAAAATTGATTTTATCTCATCACTTTGATTTCAGTCATGAATCTAAAATGTATAAGTAGATCGAGAATTCCGTCAAAAAAGTGCTAGAAGTTAGCAATTTAAGTTTGAAGAGAAAGATAACCGATTTGTAAGTCTATATCTTTCTCTATCTTACTGTACGATCTCATTTTTATAGCGTTTTCAAGTGAATTTTGTTTCATCCCGGCTCAATTAATCACTAATTTATTATGAATTCAAGTTCTTTTATTGGCGTAGATGATGCAAAACGTCATCAATCTTAAGTCTATCAAAATCCGTTCACTCGAAAACGCTATTAGTCCTCTAGTCTATAACTTTTAGGATTGGTTGTGTTCCAACTTCTTGGTTTACCCGTCAGTTATTTATTAATAAATATCAGTAATGCTTACTCGATGGTTGGAATACCGAGTAAAATTATCTCTTGGTTATAACAATAGAAGTTTTACTCGGTATTCCAACCATGGAACCAATAAGAATTACTGAATTTATTAAAAACGTATCATACAAACGTTCTTCAGTGTACGCGTATGGTGCTCGAAGCTCGAAATGGCATTACAAATTAGCATCATTTTGCTATACGCATGTGTACATACATCTTCATATTGTTTTGAATACCCTCGCGTGGTTAGGTCACTGGTAAAAAAAATATATAACGTTAGGTTAGAAAATGTGTCATATTATTTTATGAAATTCAGCAATATTTAGTTATAATTATAGTAAGCGATAATTATAGTAGCGAATAATTATAATTTTATTATTATTATATTTTAATTGCGAAAATACAAAATAATAATACATTGAATTGGTACGGTAAGAAAGTTTATATATTTACAGAAACGGAAATGCTTTAGAGGACACTGCAGTCACAACTTCAAACGTCTTATCCATCAAGAAATAATAAAAATAAAACGTTCACATATATTCACATACATTTATGAAAATGAATATATGTACCATATGTTGATCTTGTATGTTTCATAAATGTTTTGTTATAAAAGTGCAACGTCAGCTGATGAGAGTTGAAGTTTTAGTCAGAAGCACGAATAAAATTAAAAGTGATAGAAGAATCTGTTTTTGATTATTCAAGAATTGATATATATAAGGTAAGCCAAATAGTTCTCCAAATGATTAAGATTTTTGTGTTCTAAAAATGCCATTAAACAAAAAAGTATATTTTTAACAAATATATCATAATATAAATATGAATCAGTTTCTTTTTTAATTATAATTCTTGCTGTTCCTTTTTTTCTTGAAAGGTAAAAATCAAGTGTTAATTAGCACTTTGTCTCTTCATAAATATAGAATATTAAAAACTTATTGAATCCAATTTTATAGAGACAATCTCACATATATATATAATTTAAATTATTTATTTCAGGTCTTTAAAAATGAGTTTACATAAAGATATTGAGAAGGCAACCTCTCTTAAGTGGGTGAATGAAAATGCTAAATTTGTTCGACTGCAAGGATTAAGTCAAGCTGCAAAAGATCGTAAAATGAATGAAAGGAAAGTAAAGAAACCACGAAATATACAAGTTAGTATATATTTAAAACTATGTATGTAATAGTAATACTAAATTTATTTTATAATTTATTATTTTTAATTTATTTATACTTATTTTATATTTATTTATATTTATATTATTTATATGTAATTTATTTATTTTTTTAATTTTTATAAAAATAATTGTTTTTAATTATTTATTTTTAGTTAATGGAAGATGATGATAATGATAGTGATAATTGTTCTGATGGTTTTATGTGTAATAAAACAGAACCTGTTTTTGACAAACATGCAATTTCTGCTGCTATCAAAGAAGTAAGCTAATATTTATCTACTAAAAGATAGACGCTATTGACATAACACATTTTGAGATAAATTTGATTTTTAGTCAAAGAACTTATAATTCTATATACTTTACATCTTCAAAATGTTATATATATTTATTGCACATGCATAAAAGCTAGATAATATAAATGATATTGCAAAATATAAATAATATTGCAAAATATTGTAGGTACATGGTGGTATTGATCTGTCAAACAAACATTTGGAAGAATATTGGTCTGAACATCTTAAGAAAGAAAAATCTCAGAACTTTTCTGAATGTAATGATGTAAAAACATATTCTGAAAATCAATCTAAAGATTTAAATAATAAAAATGTATTAGATATACAAATGCATAAGTTACGTAGGAATGCTGCAATTATGGGAATTTTGAACATCAAAAAGATTTCACTAGAAGATCTAATTAGTTCAAGCGATAAAAACTTTATACAAGAAAAAAACAAATTAGAAGTAAGTATGAGT